TTTATAAGAGGATTAGCAAAATTCCATACTTTCAATGACAGGCTTGGTTTTTGTTCTTATCTCTCATACTCCTTGGCCGTTATTGTTAGTTGTCTGTGCAAATGCTCTCTATGAAAATTTTAAAACTAAATAAATTGTGAGCATACCATCATGTCATACAGGGTTCTCTTGAACATTTACATATGAAATGTTCTGATAATAGATTTCTGTAGAGATCCATTCAACTACAGCCCCAGCCCCACATGCATGGAGGACATCTTGACCACTCAGCCTCCAGAAAGACCTCTCACTACACATGCTGCCAAAAGTTCCATTTCAATGGTCCAGAAAAACTAAGATCTTTACTGGCTGGGTAATGCCCACTGTTAGCCCTGATCTATACTAGGACTTTATTCCAAAATAAGCCCCTCCCATCCCCAAGTTCAAATTTATAAGTGGTATGTCCACATTACCAAGCCCATTATTTCGAAATAATGGGCCTTGGAATTCATATTCTGTACTCCTGCTTTCCACAGTGAGTAACGCTATTTCTGAATCAGTAGTTTTGAAATAACGTTTGTGTGGATGCTCCAATGCCCCTAATTCGAACTTACTGGCCTCCAGGACTATGTCTACACTGCAGCGCTATGTCAGGATACCAGAGTATCCCAAAATAGCTATCCTGCATCTTCACAGCAAGCCTATTTTTTCAAAATATAACAGGCCCGCTATTCTGATGACCCTGTCAAATTGCATATCTTATGTCGAGCTATGGTGAAGTATAATGCACTCCAGGCAGTTTCCTACCACTCCCCAGAGTGCTTCCTGGGGCTCAAAGTCTGAGGTAGCATGTCTCCATTAACGAAGTCTGCCCTGGACTAATTTAAATGCTTCCCTGTAGTGAGAACATGCTAGTTCAAATTAAATTTAGTAATTTTGAAATAGTTTCTAGTGTAGATATGGCCTTATAGTCTGGTGAAGGTTTACACAAAGTATCCTGACAGTATGCCAGTCTTTCAAAATTACCCTTATTCCTTATAAAATGAGGTTTAAGGGTAATTTCAAAAGAAGGGTTTTCTTTCGAAATAACCACATCTAGACAGCGTTTCTTTTTTCAAAATAGGATATTTTGAAATAGCACCTGGACGTGATTATGCAAATCAAGCGTGGGAAATTCAAATCCGCGCTTCATTTACAATTTCGCTCAGCTTGAATGAGGAATGCAGTATAGACATATCCTCCTATAGTATAGATGGAATATGGCCAACCTGCAGCATGTTGCATGACCCTTAAATACTTAGAAGATACTTAGAGAGTTCGCTGATATAGGTGGCTTGATTTACAAAAGTACCTGTATTGCACATCTAGCTGCTCCTATTGAGATCTCCTGAGGGTGCCCAGCAATTTTGAAAATTAGGTCAACTATCTCTTTAAAGGTCAATTTAGGAGCATAATATCTGAAAATCTTGGCCCAAGATTAATTTGACCCATAGTGCTTAGTCCTATGTTACAGGAAAGGAAAAACAGCCCTTTTAAAAGTGCCTGGAGGAGGATTTATAATTTACAAAAAAGCTCTGAAGGAACATTTGTCAGGCTAGTATGTACAATGCAACTTCACATAATGGAATTAATTGCAAGGGTTCTGCTGGAATGATTTCATTCAGAAAGGTTATTTGAGATATTGAAAGAGGGATTTCACAGCTGAAAGGAAGAAGATTTTTCCCTGAGACTGGTGGAAGTAAAACACATTTAAATTTCTTAATATAGTGCCTTTGCTTCAGTGGGACTATTGTTTTCATGTCTGGAGATTGAGGAGATACCTTTATTCACAATTCTATTCAGGAACACTGTGAAAACATCAGTGCCTTCCTAACACAGGTGTTTAACATTTACAGGTGGCAAAGGAGTACATTTGCTTGTAAAAATGTGAGCCTATTGAGTTACAAAGAGTTACATAGAGGTGTGTCACATCCCTACAAAGGTAGGGATGTAGAATAAACAGAAGAGGTGTTTCTAGCATGCAATGAGGATTTGGGCCTTTAACAGTTTTGATTGAAGAGACAATTGGAAAGGTCAGAGGGTGAAAACAGAAAAGGCTGTAGGTCAATCACTGGAACAAGGAAAAAAATTGGGGATCATTTCCACATTCAAGGCTTTATCTCTGAATGCTAAACTGTAATACGTAAGTGCAGAGTTTATGTTTAGGTTCTGAAACATTGTATATAACTTTGCATTCTAAAATATGTCGAAGCAGACATTTATGATCTTCATTGCTTGATATTAAAATCACGGGGCATGAGGCAAGCGTCTGTCTCCAGCTACCGATGCTTTCTCATCCTCTGTTGTTTTGCGAGAAGGTCATTTTTACTTCTCTTTGCTTCTTAGATGATTGCTTTTAATAGAGATACTAGTTATTTAGAGAAAAGGAAAACATTTTGCACTTTGGGGATTTTGTCTCTAACATCTTACTACTGCATGGCATGAGAACAACAGTGTTGTTGGAATCCAGCAAGAACAAGTGTGAAATCTCTGTGTCAACATACTTTATAATAATGTTTAGAAAACAGTGTGCGATTCCATATGGCTACCTCTCTTACTGAGGATGTCTTGGCCAATAAGCTTTGCTGATGATTGGAGAGCTAGACTTAACAGACAGGAACAAATTACACGGCCACAGATGCAATAGCACGTCTGATGTGCTGAGAAAAGGAACAGGTGGAATGAAGGTCCCAAGGCTCTGACCAAGACTGCAGCAAATAAACAACGGTAGATAGCGTGACATGTGTAAAGGGTGTGAGGCAGTACAGTTTGACATCTTTGCCATAAGGACTAGCTGGGACAACTGACAGCTCATATCTCCCCCCCGTCCCGTCTCCCCCCCCCAGCTGCTACTACTAAATATTTAATTTGCAAACACAGCAATCTGAGATCTAAGCAAGAGGTACATTTTCAGTGCATGCTGGAAAGGTAGACACCAATTCTGATATTTTTTACAATATGCCAATCACCACATGGAAACTTTACTCATTATTTTGTAGACCTTTATTATACAAATACATTTTCCGGTATAGTCAATTCCAAGAGCTTCATATATGTGCCATTTTGCAAAGGGTTCATTTGCCTGTAGCTTCTTAGGCCATAATTTTGTCCATGAGGGAAAAAAAGAGTAAGCCACACTTTTTAATTTGTAGCCCAAAGTGTTATTATGGTCATGGTCACACTAAAATTATGAGAAACAAAATTATGCATGCAGTGTGATTTAAAAACAACATAGTTACGATTGGTTTTTGGGCAGCAAGGTAGGCAACCATACTCTGTATTTGTGTCACTGTTGTAATTCTACACAATTTGTTCCAAATCCGTTATTTGACAAGTGTAGGAAAGGAAAACCAGAGGTGGGCACTTAAGGGAGTGTCTTGGGAACTTTCAAAAGGTAAATAAATGTGGTGAATCCCTATCCCATACAACTGAGCCAAACTTCAAAACTGGGCTATATAAAACATGGGATCTTTTGAAACAGCAAACCACCCCTACCAGTACAAAGAGCCAGCTTGCTTAGAAGCAAACAATATTGCAACAGAACCCAAGGGAACACAGTCTCAGCATGCAAAAAGTGTATGGATAGTTAACTTTGTTCTAGGAGGAAAAAAATCATTATGTAATATATTCTTGTTTGATGTAAAGGGGGAATAAGAATTTTACAAACTTTCCTCTCCTAACAGGGTTTTCTTTAAAGAACTCCAAACTTAAAGAAAAATTCAAGTCCATGAATCTCAAGGGTTTAAGTTACATTATAATGTTATGACATAAAACTTCGACAGCTCCTAAAAAAAAAAAAAAAGCTTTTGAAAGAGAAGATAACTTGGGTCATGTTACTAGAAAGAATTCTGTAACTGGCACATTTTAAAATTAAGTTCCATTGGAATGGAAAAACCATGCACATACTATTCTAATAGATTAAAAATTACCTTGAATTACTTTGTTTTTAACATTTCTCTTCACATTGCCCAAAAGAGAAAGACAGCTTTTAGTACTTTTGATATGTACTTTATGACTAAACTGGGAGGCTAATTCAAGATCCTTTAATCCCAGCATATGTCTTTCTTAAGGAGCCGCAGACCAAAGCATTGAAAATGCCAGCTGGAAGAGGGGTTTGAATAAATTTGTTGCCAGTCCAAATGCAGTGATGCATATCCAATTTCTTACTGGGCAGGGACAAATATTCAGTAAGGGCCAAATGCACTCCGACTGCATCATGCCTCAGTCCCAGACTGTGTAACGTGTAACTATTCAAAGTGTTCAGGCCACAGAGCCCAGAGAAGACTTCTTGAGAATTATATGCGATTTCCATGAGGAAGAAGATGGTAAAAATGCATGAAACAGCATATCTCTAGCTCTAGTCCACCCCTCTTCAATGTCTCCCTGTCCCCAGAGACCCCTGCAGAGTTGAGCAACCATTTCCTATTGTGCACTTCCACTGTCGGAGGAGGCCTCTTAGATGCAAAAATCAAAGATAGGTTTTGTGCTAAACAGTCAACGATAAATATTGAAATACAACCCTTCCACTTGTGCTTTGCAAATTAATTGGTTGTAAACACTATGTACTTGATGTATGAACTAGTTTTGCAGCCACTAGCATTCTCCCATGTTACTTAAGGTGCATCTACACTGTACCCTTACCTTGAAATAAGCTATGCAATTTGTGCTACGCAAATTGCATAGCTTATTTTGAGGTATTTTGAAAATAGCTTATTTTGAAATGCCCCTTAATCTCATGGAACAAGGGCGACACTGGAATAAACTGCCCGTTATTTTGAAATCTATTTCAAAATAGATTTATTTCAAAATAACATGCTACTTCAATAGACATGGAATAGCTGTATTGAGATACTTCCGGTATCCTGAAATAGCTCTGCAATGTAGATGTAGCCTCTGAGTGGTTAATCAGGGATAAAATGCTTAAGAATATCAATAGGACTGCCCACTGTGCAATTAGCATTCATATTTTTCTGTATACTTACCTGAGGTTTCCTAATAGTGACTGGACACATCGGCACTATGAAAAGGGGTCACAGTGATGCAGGCGCTAGTGTATTCTGAACCTCCTGCTCGATTATTCAATATAGTTTCAAAATAATCACTTTTCAGTGTCAGCAAGGAATCTTAAACTCTGTAAGCAGAAATAAACAAGGCAAATGAACAAACATTTAGCACTATCCAGTTAAAAAGCCTCTTCTTTATTCTCAGAAAAGTTAGAGTTTTGGTTGTCAAAACAGTAATTTTTAATTTTTGGCAAAACCGGAACAATTTCAACAAATAATGGAGAAAAAATTTACGAGTAAGTATACATATAATCAAAAGCTGTTTTTCATTTAAAAATTATGATGAAATAGTTTCTAGAGTTCTATTAACCATGCCTGAATTCATATTTCTCTCAGAAGGGGGACACTTTTATGTTAACCTGCAAGTCCAACAATGGAGAAAGTGATAAATATCTTCATTTAATTCTAGTTCATCAGCATATAAAATATAATAAAGCAAGGTGAGAGGGGAGTCACTTCAATTGCTTAATGCTTTTTATAAAGTAAATAAGGTTAAAATGACCAGCAATTCCCTCAGGCTATGAAACGTTTTATTCCTAGAAATATCAAAGTTGTATTAGGTGATCTCTTTTCTCTGTACTAGGTTTTCCAATTTCCTACCTTAACGGATAAGATAATGAATTTTTCTAATAGTTCCTTTGTGAATTACAGATACCATGTTGGATTAATTAAACAGAGGATTTTGATAAGCCAATTTACTTTACACTGTAAATTCTGTTGGTTTCTTTTGTGGTTTTGTTCCTCTTAAACAGTGTAACTAGTTTTCTCACTCTTAATTTTGTTTCCAATGAGTTTCTAGCCATTCTCACTGTCCAGGAATTATTTTAAGCTTTCCAACCTTCAAAAATGTTTACTGTAAAGAAACAAAACCAGTTTGGAAATCACTTTTTGCCTCAAAGTTGTATACTTACTAAAGTTTAGGTTCAAGAATCCATGACATGACAGGAGGAGCACAGAGGGGAAGTGAGCTGCTGCAACTCCAAAAAGCTTGCAGCTTTCTTACCACTATGCACCCAGTAACACTTTGTGACAATATCACAGTTCCCTCTGAATATCCAGCTACACTGTTTTCCCCTTGCTGGAAATAGCCTTTTTATCAAAGGTTTCAGTTGTGTCTATTGAGCATAATCTTGTGTTGTGTGGAGTGCTGGGCTACACTGTCGCCACAGATACTCTTCACTTCAATTTACTATTCCTCCACAATGCCTAGCTGACTCTAATGCCCAGTAGGTTGGTGGAGTGGAACTATGCCTCTACCTTCTGAGCTTCCCCCAATCCTGGATCATGAACCACCACCAGTGGAGTAAGGAGAGGCAGTCTTTCTACTTCCTACATCACAAGGCTGTGGCTGCAGCTGTGCTGGACTTCAGGACACATATGGGAAGGCCCTATATAACCTACTTCCTCCCGGCTCCTATATAAAAACCTGGCAGAATGTGATCTCAAAAGAGCAGCAGATTAACATTAGCAGAAAATACTATTTAAAGGGGTGTGCTATCAGAAACTGGAATGCTCTGAAATTAGCCAATGCTACAAAAATATCAAATTTAAAGGTAAAATGATTTCATTTTAATGTAATAATGATCATAGTAAAACAACCTAGATCTTATAACACTGGCTTAATTAATTCTAAACTGTATGCTGGTTAGGGCAGAGACCATGCCTATCTGTGGTTCTGAATAAACCATAAATTATTAATAATGCATAATAAAATACATACGTTAACTATATATCTGTGTTTATAATACATATTTACAAAATCTGTATTTTGATTTTACAGTTTTTGGCAATGTTGCTTTTAAGGCAAAGAGAGATTTTCTGGATTGTATCATATTTAATCCCACTAAAGTCAGTACAGTTACACCAAAGAGGAATGTATGTAGCCTGATATTGTTTACAAAGATTTACTTGAGATTTGGGGTGACATTTGGCCCTTAAATCAATGGAAGATGCATGTGCATATTGGAATTTCACTCTTAATCTTGTTTTTAAACAGTGTTTGAAATTCAGATTGAAAAAAGCTGAATTATGCCATTAAATGTAGTAGATAAATGGTTCAGGTTTAGATCTCTCTCTTATGCAAACTTGCTGTTAAAGATCAAAGCTGAAACATATAAAACAGTTAATTGCAATCTGTTATTCTGCGCCAAAACAAACAGTAATTATAGATTTCAGACAGATACCAATACACAGTAAGCCTGGTCTAGTTTGAAGCCAGGGTACACAAATAGCCAGATGTCCAAGTCCTACACAAGAGATACATAACATTAACAGTTACTCTAGTACAGAGAGCCATAATGCAGGATTTTCATTTCCTAGTTCTAACAGCCCCCCACTTTTTTAAATTGGGGTTCCCATGTGGCCCACCTTTCAGGGTCCATCTCTTGCACATGTGGTTGTAATTTCAGAACTGCGTATCTTTTACTTAAGGGACTTTGTGGACTTCACACATACACACACACAATGGACTTACACACACACACACACACACACACCCTACCTATGAAAGAATGACAAATTCATGTTTATGTTGATAATTCCTCCCCTTCCCCAAAGAATATACTCTAAATACTCTCTGAGGATTTCATCTTCCGTCAGCATACAAGGAATCTCCCATTAGTGTCAGTGCAAGTTATGCCTGCATATCATGGGGAGAACAGACCTCTGAATAATTCAGTATTATATAAATTAGCTTCCCTTGATGAATAGCTGCTACCAACATTGTGGAAAGGTGCATCTCAACATTTTCACAGACTAAGCAACAAGTTCAATTTAAGTCTGCCCTTGTAAAACTCCTTCCCTTGTTTTTAAACCTGCCAGAAAAAATGTGAGCAGCCCTGATTTCAAAGGATTTTCTACTGTAGCATTTTAAAAATTATTAATACTGACTTGGACATATTACTGAAAAAACACAATGTGGTTACATTTTGGCTTGATTTTACTTCATTAATTATTGAAATCAGCTAGGCCCAGATTGCTCAAGGGACTCTTAATGGACTACAGAGCCTTCACCTCTAGGTCACCAGTTCAAAGCCAGCCCTGCTCAGAAGTGAGTAAGAGTCATTACTATCTATGGGAAGACTGTTCAGTGGCCCCTGTAAAATAAGTCTGAGGTCTCTATTTCTCTCCTAATGCTTAAGGCCCTGATTCAATAAAACTCTTAAGCATATGTTTAATAATAATAAGCAGATGCTGAAGTCTTATTGAATTTAATGGAACTTAAGCCTCTGCTTAAGGTTAAGCATGTACTTAAGTGCTTTGGTGAACAGGGATGGACTTAAACACATAAGAGTACAGGTGAATCAGACCTAAATGTCTATATTGCACCCCCACCCCCAAACAAATAAAAAAACCACACCCAACTCTTGCTGACTATCTCAGCAAGAATGCCAAAGATTGAATGGGCATAGATACTGAACTGCTTTCTGATCTGTAAAACAATTGCCTTTAGATTTCTGCATATTAACAAAACAGAGTGAGAGAAATGTGCACCTCTGCTACCATGGCTTATTTGTTCTGTGTCCAAAAGATTGGCAACAGCATAAAAAACATCAGCATCATCCTCCATGTAGATAGTGAAGTTCATTTAGTATAAAGTAAAGCTTTTAAAACTGAAAAGCTGTTTTGCAGTTCATTTAAAACGGAGGCACTACTTATACTTAAAACCATTTGGAATGGCAAATATGGGTCTTTAAACTCAGCAACTGGAGCAGTTGTCTGACCTGCCACAGCAAATAACTTCTAGGATTACCAGTGGATCAGATTTTGTTTTGCTTCTTTTAGAATGAAATGTATTATGGGATTTCTCCTTGGTACACTGATTATTGTTTTGCACAATCAAGGTTAACTGCTGTGAAATGTAAGCTCCCGTTTCAAACCACTGCAGGCTAAGACAGCCACCATTTTAACACCACATCTGTGCTTCTAACAAAATAAGTTGAACTTTACTAGATTTCTCTCCTTTTCCCCTAAAGATCTGTCTGGGTGTTGAATGAAACATAGGCTTCGTCTTTTCATTCTGGAAGGCCTGAGGACTACAGGACAGATTCTGATTTCAGTTCCACAGTGTATCCATTGAAGTCAATAGAGTGATTCTGGATTTATATCATGTAAGTGAGATCAAAATCCAGCCTGGTGTTTGTTAAATTTTCTGGTGCTTTCTGACTTGAATAACTAAGAGTTAGCTGGTCTTCAAATTGCCATATAATGGAATGATCCTTTTCCGGAAGGGGCATGTTAATTTCAGCTATCGTAATAGGGAAATCCGCGGGGGATTTAAATATCCCCCGCGGCATTTAAATAAAAATGTCCGCCGCTTTTTTCCGGCTTTTAGAAAAGCCGGAAAAGAGCGTCTACACTGGCCCCGATCCTCCGGAAAAAGCGCCCTTTTCCGGAGGATCTTATTCCTACATTGAAGGGCGCTTTTTCCGGAGGATCGGGGCCAGTGTAGACGCTCTTTTCCGGCTTTTCTAAAAGCCGGAAAAAAGCGGCGGACATTTTTATTTAAATGCCGCGGGGGATATTTAAATCCCCCGCGGATTTCCCTATTACGACCTGGAAAATTAGCATGCCCCTTTCGGAAAAGGGGCAAGTGTAGACGTAGCCACCCAGTTTCCTGAGACCTAAACAATGGTTTCAAATGTTTAATCTTGGGAGATTTCCATCCTACAAAATTCTGGATGTTTAAAAAAATTTATATTCAGACATAAAATGAATGAAACCATTCTCCATTACTAGATTTATTCTTTATTAGTGGAAAATAAACCTCAAGAGAGTTAGTGCTAATTGTTTGT